AGAACATTACACGTTGGCTCGAAGATATGAATTTTATGTTCTCGTGGCAAGAACAATATCTCACGAGTGATTTGCATTTGACCCCTCTCACGATATGGAAATGAGATCTTTTGTCTATTTTCCGAAAACGCATGACGACGTCATTGAGATTCCAAGAAAACTAACCTCATGGTATGAAAAGGAAAACAACGACAATCATAGGCGTTCGAGCTGGGGGGACAATCAAAAGGAATTCTACTGAACAAGTATCAAAAAAAGCTTAAAGGAAAAATATGATTTGTTTGTCTTTCTTCTGAAGAAAGCGTTCTGGCTGAAATATTCAGTTAAATAAAATCAGCATTTACAGTTGAACACGACATGGTGCGACCTAACTCGCTTAGTCTATTTACAATTGAGCTCGTTTGAAACTATAGTAGACTGACTTCGAATCAACAATATCGCTAACTATCAAGAATTATTTCTTCTTCTTGTTTTTCATTAACAACTGAGCACTTTAAAATTGGGTAACTATCGAAGACTCGTCATTACTGATATCCTCCAGATCGGAGAGTGAATATGAAGAATATACCTAAGGTCTGGCATGGTTAGGTTGATATTAGACTGCCTCTAACAATGAATGAAAACAAAGTTCAGACATCTTACCTCCTGAAGATTTCACTGTTTTCATCTCTTAGTAAATTGCAAAAATCCTTGAACGACTGGAAATCTTGAAATGTCTTTCGTTTCCTTAGAACAGTTGCGTCTCTGATCTCAGCGACTTCTGGCAAGGTCTCTTCAATTTGTTCTTCAATCTCGTCCTTGATTTGACGGTAGTTGCGTGGCTTGACCAGGAGATGAACTGTACCATCAAACATTTCGCCCACAACAAACTTGAAATTTCTATGATTTCTATAAAAATATTGGAAGAAATTCTTTATCGAGCGAGCAACCCGAGGATTTTCTTCTTCGAAACATCTGGACCATTTCACTCGCATGGACTCGTATTTATACAATATGTTTGGATTCACTGAAGCCATGTTGCAAAGGAACCGTGGACTGACGAGATATTCCTTTGCATACGGTTTAACTGAAGTTAAAACAGGATTTAGCCTCAAAAATTTGGCGGAATTCCATGCACGTGATTGACGTGAAAGCGTCAGATTTACGTAATGTTTATATAAAAAACGACTGTTGCGTAATCAATATACTGCGCTCACGTGGTCTGTTTTTATTACAAAAGATCGCAAAATTTGCAACATGTTAGAACCTATTCCCGTCCACACTACACCGGAGGATTTTGAAAACGCAACATTAACCGCTCATTTTGGATTTGTGGTTGAGCAAAACTCGGGCAACTTTCGTTTTCGAAAAGCGCCGCTCTCAAAATGTTTTCCCTCCACGCTGAAACGCAAAGTTGTCGTTTCCAAATTCCTCCGGTTTGAAGAGCGTCTTCGAAAAGCTTTGTTTTCGTGAAGGATTAGTGTGAACGGTAGGCTTAATCGTAGAAATAAAGCTGCGTTTTCAAATTTCTGCGGCGTAGTGTGGATGGGGCAGGGCGTAAGTGATGAACAAAGTTTTGTCAGTGTCAAGCTCATCAGGTTCCTATTTTTATCAATTTTCTACAAGTTAGCAAATTTCGTGTTCGGGTATTTTTTGCATGAGCTGCAGTCTTAATTTAGTCGCAAAATATTGCAATTTATAGCCGTCTTTTTATGTCTTGTACTAAGAAAATGAAATTTATTGCTTCTTGACGCAGAGCAAGGAAGTTAGGATAAGTTTAATTATTAATATAAACACTGATCCTTAACGACATCCTGAGGAGAAGTCTCCTATTGGCCAATTGGCTCGAAAATTAAACAATCATGCATCATTTATAACGAGGCTACCGCTTCAGTTAATGCTGTCAATGCTTCCAAATCTGACCTATTCTCTTCATTCGCTACCGTAATGGCAGAAAATTCTGCAGTGGCTGCCCCTGCTGAATCGGAGAAAATTAATCGGGACCGTTTCCACAAGTACGAGTCCATACGGATCGAATGGACGAAATATTTCGAAAAAAAATATTTCGACCAAGCTCACATAGTCAAAGGGTTTTTCAAAACGTTCCATCGAAGCCACAAGGGGTTTCAATTTGTGATCGCGGAACTTTTCGATGGCACAACTCACCCTCTTGTTCGCGCTGAAGATTACCAAGCGGTGAAGGAGGAACTAGAGCGAAGGACTGGCAAGACATTACCCGAAGTTAGTAATGTCTCGGATGTGAGGATTAAAGACGAAAGGAAGTCGTTCGCCGACTTTGAATCTTACCGAGATTTCTCCATGTCTCTTAAGGACCAGAATGACACAATAAGGCGAAGGTAAGCTGGGTCGAAGTGTGCCGCCGCCGGCTCTCTCCGATAAATACAGGGTACGGTAGATAAAGTTGATATAGTTGCTTTGACATGATATGTTAACGAGTGTATCGCCACTGGAATTGAGTCACTGTGATTCTTGTATACAAAGTTTTACTTTTCTAAACCTATGTTAAGCGTGTGTTATTCTTTGTTTTGCTGTTCTCCATGAAATGTCTGGATATTATTTAAGTAAAATATTTTTTTGACTTTTTTATTACTTGTATTTATTTTGCACAATGGTGCGCTTTCCTAGAAAGCGACGCCAACGGCTGTGCCTTTCCTGGAAAGAGGGAAAACTCAAACAATCTTAATTTTATGTCACGCAACTAGCTGTCCATGCATGAAGTTAATTTAATTTTAGACTATGTAGCACTCCGTAAAAGTCCCTGAAAATCAGAGAGACAAAATACAAAATTGAATATCTAGATATTTCCTTAACGAAAGAGAAGTTTTGTTGTATAAAATTAGGGAGTATCATGGCTCAATTCTTAGGAACTCAGTAACGGAAGTAAATACATATTTTCCTAGAAACAGTCGAAATCCGCATAGAAGGCTGGCAACGAGTCAAAAGCTTCGTTGGGCAACTAGGCAAAATAGTTTTACTTGACGCGTTCGAATTCATTAGCCGTTTGAATGCTTTACAGACTGATGTCTAAAATCGTTTGAATCGTTCGATTTCACACTACATTAGATTACTCTGGAAACAGATATCTGTTCAGTGGGCCGATGACAAAGTTCCCGAAGCAAAGGAATATTTTCACTTGCACGGGAAGCAGGAAGTGGAATAATGTCAGCATGCACCATGTAAAGGCGTTTGAAAATATGACGGCTCTTCGAAACCTTGTACCGACAATTCGGGTTCTCTAGTCGGAAAAAAGAATCATAAATTGGACAAAGAAGGCACCCATGTGTTTCAATAGGACACTATTAGGAGAAAGCTTTATTTCGTTGATAAAAAGCATTCTTTAATTTTCAAAAGCATTGTTGATATCTTCACATGTCGGAAACGTAAATTGTGATGCAGTCAATCTTGGCGCTGGAAAATTCTAAGCGGACGTTAATGGGAACAGGGGATGGTGGGAGGGGGTAAAGGGACTGATATAAACGTACAGTTGACATTAAGCGGGGAACAAATGAATATGTCAACGGCCGCTAAAATATTACAGTGGTAATTCCACATAAATTCGTGTTCTATATTGTTTAATAATCATTTGACTATGGTGGTTTTTCAGGAGAAAGGAGGAGGCAAAGCGACATGTAAACCTCCTCCGCAGCACGCTGCAAACCAAACCAAACGCTCGCATAATGACGTTTGATGTGGAAACCTACGAACATGACAAAAGTCAAACCCTTGAGGTCGGCTACGTTATCACAAACTTAGACAAACCAGACGAGATTGACGCCTTCCACTACATCATCGAGGAGAACCTCCATTACTCTAACAGGGATTACGTCCCTGACAACCGCGAGCGATTCAAGTTTGGAACGTCACAGCGCATGTCCTTGAAAGAGGCCGCTGAAAAGTTCAAGCAGCACATCGCTGATGCAGATTTCTTGGTGACCCATGCAGGACACAATGATGAAGCCTACCTGTCAGGCTGTGGAATCTCTTTAGAAGGGAAGCAAACGTTCGACACTCAGACGCTCGCCATGGGTTTGCTGACTGGCGGACCTCTTATTTACAACCTGAAACGACTGCTGAATGATCTGGAAATCGATTTTGATGAAGATATTCTCCACAACGCGGCCAATGACGCAGTTTATACCTCGAAGGTGTTCATTGCTCTCAGCAAGAAAATTTAGAATTTTTCTGAATTACCATGTAGTCATAGCAAATTAACTTTGACATTGTGTTAGTATAACTGAAGCTAAGTCAACTTTAGTTGCCCGTCGTAACTGAGAATTTCTTATCGGTATATTTAGTAGTCTACAAGAGATCAATTTCAAGACATGCAGACCACGAGAGCGTGGTTTAGTTGCGAGTTTTTTTGGCACTTGACGTTTTTGAATCAATTTTATTCTCAATAAAACTAATCAAAATGAGCGAAACTGTGGTCACGTCACCGGAAATAGCAAGTAAAACACATTTAATATTTACACGTTTAATCAAAACTATAACAAAATTCTCGAACGTGATTGGCTATCAGCAGCCCGATTTGAGCATTAATTGGACAGTGTACGCGTCATGCTTGTAATTGGACAGTACGCGTCATTTTGCGCGCGCTGTTGCGATGAACTTTGTTGAGTGAACTGCTGTGTTTTTCAACATTCATAACGACGTTTAATCATTCAGCGATGAATCGATGGTTTGTTCATTTCTCGAATTTTGTCATAGTTTTGATTAATTGGTGACAGGACATCGTGTCGTTCAATTCAGTCTGTAATTATACTCGTGATTAACAAATCGGACTCCCGCTTCACGGTCGTCCGATTTTGTTAATCGCTCGTATGATTACAGAACGAATTGGACTCCACCCAGTCCTATTACTATTATTAATTCCTAGTTTGTGGCTTCGTTTCATGTTCGAGTGTCTCTCGGTTTCATTTACGTAACAAAGCGATTGCGCTGCAAGCATGCTTCTGGGAAATCTTCCCTTTGCGGGTTATTGAGGAACACCCAACCGGTACTACGTAAGATTGTGAAGCTAATAAAATGAAGAATCCACCCGAAAATAAGGCAGTTCTTGTTTGCCTTCTAACACGCATTCGCGTTATCTCTTGGACCGAATCCGTAAAAGCCCTCTTAAAGTTAAGGAGGGGCCGTAAAAGGGGGTGGGGGAGGGGGGAAAGGGGGGAAAGGGGGCGGGGTCCTTCACACGTTTCACGACTATTAACTATGGCAAATAAAGCCAACGACATAGGGACATAACAACATAGACATAACGACATAACAAGGAGGTTTTGTCGTTAATTATGTCCGTAGTGTGAACATCCTGACAATGACATGAAAGCAACACTGATAACAACATGAAAATAACGACATAAGGGGAAAAAATACTGATCTTTTCCTTATACTTTTATGTCGATGTTCACATTGCGACATAAGCTATTATGTCGATTATGTCGTTTAGATATACATGTATATGTCGCCAGTGTGAACCGGGCCTAGCGGTATAGGAAGAACGTGATGTCGTTGTTTTCTGCGCGAACATCCTGACATAATAGCAAAATAACAGCATGAACATAACGGCATAAGCAAAAATAAACTGATCTTTTCCCTCTGTCTTAATGTACATGTTCACGTTACCGACATAAGTGATTATGTCGTTATGTGGTTGTTTCGTTGATCAAGTAGGCGTTGCCTCTTAATTGACAGATTTATTTGTTGACAAGAATCGTGATTGACATAAATTATATACATTGATTTAAAGGCGTTAGGTTACTGTGTTTCAAACCAGTTTTTCAGTAGAATCGAAGTGAGAAAGAAGTTATTTTGGTCTGTTTGTTAAACCCGCTTACCTGGAGAATCTGTTTATTAAATCCGCTCACCTGGAGAATCTGTTAAAGACTCAGTGCTAACCTGTAAAGTGCGACTGTTGTAACTACCCGCCACAGAAGTAAGTTGAAATGCAAGTTTACTGAATTTAGCTTCGAGACAAAGATTTATTTGTGTTTGTTCTGATTGCGAATCATAAATGTATTTCTTTTAGATCGAATAATTATTAAACCTTAGCTTGATATTATGCGGTTTGTGGTGGTCTTTTGAGCTAGCCAGTTCCATGTGCAAAAGTGGTCTTATGTCATTATGTGGCTAGTGTGAACCAGGCCTAACGAATAATGGTACTCAATATTTCCATTTCAAGCTTTGCGGTAAACACCACCAACCTAACAAGACCGTTCGTGTGCTTTTCGGTGGCCTGTGACTTTCCAAACTTAAATCGCTCGCGGTTGTCAGGAACGTAATCTTTGTTAGTGTAACGGAGGTTTTCCTCGATGATGTAGTGGAAAGCATCATTCTTGTCTGGAGGGAGCTACTCTGCTCAATGCTTAACCTACAGTACAAACTATTTTCAACGACTGACTCTGGAAAACTGGTACACTAATTTATAACTTAATTAGAACAAACGCCTTTTAACAGATGTGATCAGTTACGGGCACTTTACAAATCACTTATTCACATACATATAGATTATTACATGTTATAAGCCTGATAAGAGTTTTAAATACCATATGGCGAACAAGCGAGTCTTCGAGCGAGTGTGTTTCCTACATATTACATGCTTAAAATATATCAAGCCACCAAGTTTAAGTACAAGAAAGTTGTCTTTAATGGTAGTTTATGAACGTGAATACATACAAGGAAGAGGGGAACTTAAGCGTATCGTTCTTTTACAGTGTTCCTGCAAATTTATGTTCTCATCCGGTCAAAACGTAAAGCGGCCGCTTTCCTGTTCTTCATCGGAGACATTCACAAATCTTGAAGCGGCCATTTCGCTGATAAAACTGCAAAGCAATTCATCCCGCCAAATTTGGCGCCAGACGTCAGCTAAGATATAACGTGCAACCCGATTGGTCCAACCAATTTATTACAGTCTGTTCCAGATTGGACACTTCAACCGTGAAGTGATATGATATCATTTCACAGGAGTGAAATGACATCATATCACTTCACGGGCATCATTTTTAGTCACGGCTTAATCACACTGATCTCCACAGATAATATATAATAAAAAGTTATATCAATGTTGCCTTTAAAAAGCTAAGAAAACATTTTATCAATCAAATGAAGCTCTCTCCTAACAGTGTTCTGTTGAAATACATGCTGGCCTTCTTTGCCTTATTAACGATTTTGTTAGTCATTTGACAGCTGCCAAAACAAGGTGTCCGCTGACCATTATCACGTGACCATATCGCGGGATCAAGTTGAGAGCTCATCAAGGTCACGTTTTTTTGAAGTTGACCGCTTCCCAAGTGGAACTTTTTGATTGGATCGCGGGCTTAAGCCAGGCTAATCAGCCGATTACTCTATCCCAAAATTAAAAGTTAACCGAAGTATAAATTTTTCTTCTATAAAAATGTTTTTCACTGCTTATGTTTTGTGTAGTTTTAGATTATTCAAACCCCAAACAGAAGGCTAAACAATATCTATAAAAACAAAAAAATCAAAAATTCTCGCTAATATAGGGCAGATAATCTCTTATCCTGGGTTAGCTTAATCGAGCTTTGAACAACCCTACTCCTCTTTTAGGCTTGGCTAAATCTATATATCAATGTCTGGTCTGCACGGTGGATCTGGAATGGACGGTTACACAAACCTTGTTTGTTACATCGGGGGATGTACTTAAGTCGTGAAGTCAAGCAAGTAAATTAAATGTTGACAATAAACTATATATGGGCAAAGAAAATGGTTAAAATCAATAACATATTTTACGATAACTGTCTAATTACTCGCGCGCTGATTGGCTCATTTTTTATCATCAATAAAAGAACAGACGGATAAAATTTTAATTTATGCAAGCTTTCGAGTTCAACTTTCAGCTGTCAAACTGTCAACTTTTAAACCAATGCGATTTTATGGACTTTTTTAAGTAGCCAATCAAAAAGCGAGAAAAGTTATTGTTACGAGAAAAGAAAAAAAGAAAAAAAGCGAGAAAAGCTATAAGTTTACTGCGGAACCACTCGCCCGCGGCTCGTGGTTCAACAGCCACTTTGGCAATGTTATGACGCAATTTATCATCAATAAGAGGGCAGACGCATAAAAAACTGACGTCAATTTGTTGAATTATTGTGTTTTAATGAATGGTAAAAATTCTTGCAACTTTCATAAAAATTTGTAACACTGCCGACACAAACTGTAGCAGACAACAGTTTTGTGTTATAATTAGGAGGTTTTAAAATTTAACTAACAAATATTTAACGAATAGATTCCATGTTGCCGTGCGTCTGTACAGTAAATAGATGATCTCAGATGACGTCAAAATGGGGTAAGAATAAAAAAGTGGCACTCCTGGCCATGCGATGATAGCCGAGAATGCTTCGGAAGTCATTACCACATTTTGCCGTCTTTTACTGAACAGACGCAGGGCAGTATCGAATCTACTTTTTCATATAATAAAGAAGAAGGCTAATGGCGTCATCTATGCGTCTTCCCTCCAACAGATCATAATTAAGAACCAATCAAAATGCGAAAATAAGTTGAGTTATTATAGAAAAGTCAATAGTTCACTTCACACTAGAACAGCGTGTGTATTATCACATTATAATACTTCCATGTGTTCTAGTGCTTTGTTAAATCTTCTTGGTGAGAGCAAGAAACAACTTCATGGTGTAAACTGCGTCATTCCCAGCGTTATGGAGAATGTCCTCATCAAACGGAATTGCCAGGTCACTCAGCAGGCGCTTGAGACCGAAGACTGCTGTTCCGCTGGTCAGCAGTGCTAAGGCAAGGAGCTGAGTGTCAAACATGGGTTTTCCTTCCAACGAGATGCCGGAACTGGCAAGGTACGCTTCATCATGGGCTCCCGAGTGAGTCACCAAGAAATCTGCATTCCTGATATGCTGCGTGAACTTTGCAGCAGCCTGTTTAAGGGACATGCGTTCCGAAGTACCAAATTTGAATTTCTCTCTGTTATCAGGAACGTACTCCCTGTTAACAAAATGACTGTTTTCGGTGATAATAAAATGAAATGCTTCCTTGCTGTCTTCTGGTCTGGCCAAGGAACTGACGACAAAGCCGATCTCAAGAATTATACTGAAGTCATTTTCATACGTTTCCACATCAAACGCCACCATACGCGCGTTTGGTTTAGTTTGCAGGAAACGGCGTAGTTGGCCAACACTCTTTTTGGCATCTTCCTTTCTCCTAAAATATAGATGAATACAAAATATCTTTCAACGGAGAAAAATGGTCTGAGCTGAGTGGAAGCAACATCATGTTATGTATGTTAGAAGACAGGGCGAAGACGGCGGTCAGGACTTCATAACAAACATTTGGTCAATTTAACTTCAACCCACGACAAAAGTTGTTAGTAGAGGTTTTTCAATGTTAAAGTTCTACCGATTGTGTAATTAATTCTGTTGCTTAGTAACAACATTAAAAACGAGGGGAGGGGAGGATGAAAAAAGATGACCTTCCCAATCGTTTTGTCAGGGATTTTAGCTATCAGCTTCCTGTTTCCATTCCTGTTTCCATTGCAAATAAACGATGTATTTCATTATGGTTTTACAAGTGAAGATGAAGGTAATCTAAGAGTACTCTGGTTTGGAATGGCCACATAGACATAGTTTATTTACTTGGTCGCGTACTTAGCAATGGTAACGTTAGGTCCCATAGACTTTATAAGTAGGGTCTATAAGACGCACCAGCTAGTTTACAGGTGCTCCAAGAAAACAAAATAACAAAGTAAAAATGTTCATTTGGGATATCCGGGTAAAGATTACTTATTCAAGATCACTCGGATCATGGTGCACCAAAGGAGGCCACGAATCTTTGACCATGCAGAGTGGATTCATCGGTTCCTTCGATGAACCATTGAACCGAGTGATCTTGGATCACTGATCCTGATCCAGATCATCCCAAAGGAACGCACCCTAAGAGAGTACATACGTTACTCTTGTCCCTCATATAGGCCTTATTCCCAACGTAATCCCTGGATTATTTTCTTTTCGCGCCAAAACGTTTGCACGAAACACCGTTGCATTACATACGACCCGCGAGACCGACCTTTGTATCGTCATGTTTTCCTCACCCGATTGTTGGTGAGGGAGACAAAACAACTTCCTTTATTCGATAACACGCTACAAAATGCAGACAATGCAGCTACCACGATGAAGAGTTTAGGATACTCACACGATCTAGCGCCTTCAACTAACAGTCGTGCTGCATTAGAGAAATTGCCCGAACCCGTTGATTGAAAAGTGGGCAGAAAAAATTGAGATGCATCCCACCATTTCCACATTAGTCGATCTTGACGAATGGTTCTGTGCGACACCATCCGCACTAAAACCTTAGTCAGTTAACCCTTACCAAGCTTCGGTAAGCCGTTGAAGGGCGGAAGGACTGGCAATAGAAGGCCACCACGAAAGGGAGCCGACCAACACGTCGACAGCTGTCAAAAGCAGCCTCAGATTCTCTCCATAGCTACAAGTTATATGATCGGGCATTAGAGCTCGTCCACAGCTAGGACCTGTCTAGTATGCGATAAGAAAGACGCAGTTGAGAAGGGCCGGTGAAATATTTCTAGTAATGGATGTGAATCCGAGAGCTCAGTTAGGCAAGGACCATCGAGTCAGCGTTACTGCACTCTACGAAACGATAACACATCGAAGGCTGTAACAAATACCTCCACCCGCTAATCCACGACGTGGCACCGGTTTTCGTCGGAACATCACTTTTGAACAGCGCGGTTCTTGTCTCGTCGGCACCCGTCTTGATCATTGAAACTTCGTCTGTGAACTGAGATCCCTTCTGCTGCAAATCGTACCCGAAGCAGTTGCGACCCTCAGTGGGGTTCTTGGAAAACTTTGCTGACGCTATTGTGCTGACTGGTGAAGACAACCCTCTACAACTTGGCACCATTAGCTCGTCTGATGAACCAGTACGCTTGAGAAAAGTGTCGTTCCACGTTTGTGTAGTGGAAGGAACAGAAACAGATGCCAGGCAGCCGTAGAAGAAGAAGCCTGGACAATACCACAGTTTAGCCTTCCCACACAAAGGGTTCCAGGATGCAGGATTTTCCGCACCCTGCTTCACAAACTGCGTGTTCATGAGCCCAACTTCGAAAAATTTAAGTGTCGTGATTATTATCATCTTTTTATAAAGCAAAAATACGAAAAACCAGATAAATGGGCCAAGTTGAGGAAAGAATTTAATCTAGAGGATAAGCAACTTTCGGGGGGCATTTGTGATGCCACTGAGAGTTGCAAATGAACCTTATGTACGTTCTTTTTAGTATAAAGTACTGAATTCTATTCTATATACAAATGAATTACTTTGTAAGATAGGCTATATCTCTGACTCCAATATTCCTTCTGTCACCAGACTACTGAGACCATATCTCATATTTTCTTTGACCGTTCCTTTTCTACTTCCTTTTGGAATGAGATATGTGAAAAAAATTAAATCAACTTAATAGTTGCGTTTGCCTCTCTTTAGAATATCGCGAGATTATTTTAGGATTTTAACGGGGGAGATGGATTTGCTAAACTATATAATCATTTAGGAAAAACGTACTTGTGGACTTGCCGGTGTAAAGAAGCGAAACCATCTTTCAGCCACTTTGAAAGAATGTTATTAAATAAATATCAAACCGAAAAGGAATTGTTTCTTTTAAACACTTAAATAAAAAAAAAAAACAAAAAAAAATTGTATAAGTAGTGTAAGTATAAGTAGTATAAGTAGCAAGTATATTGTAAGTGTAAATGTAATTATAATATCAGTAATGTAAGTAGTGTAAGTGCTCAAGTTGTAAATAAAATTCCATTAAAAAAAAAAAGGATTTTCCGCACCCGACCGGTCTTGGTACCCCTGAATTCGATTCCGAAGACGTGATAATTTTGCTGGAGCAAACGTACTGGAGGAAATATTACAGCATGATGTACAAAGGAGTGACAAAGTATGGCCCTATTATCCCAGAGGAGAACTAGGAACTAATAATAATAATAATAATAATAATAATAATAATAATAATAATAATAATAATAATAATAATAAGATGTACAAAGAAGTTGTCCAGGGCTTTTCACAGCCTTTGGTTGCATTGGATCCTTGCTGATTCATTTAGGTAAATTGAGAGGCCTGAGTGTCTACATGTTATGCACGTGCACCGTGTCCTGAATGTCGAAGAGTAGTTGAACAAGTAAGACGAAAACTGATTGTGAACAGAATCCTGTGATACAAAGTATGAGGACGTGACACTCCGTTCATGTGGAGACAAAAGAGCTCTCGAGACTTGAGTCAAAACTGTGAGGCAAATATGTGACAGAAATGAAGCCAGAATGTTAGGGAGAAAGCAAGAAGTAAAGTTTCCTAACAATCGCCCCATGGCTGTAAAACGAATGGAGTCTACCGTATGTAAACTAAACCATTATTGAAGAATATGTTGCAAGGATTACGCGCGTATCTTACCCTAGCTGAAGAGGCATCTACCCCAACCCCGAAACAGTTAGTTTTCTGCTGCACCATCCAGTCCGTAATCTCAACAAGCCGGACAAAGTACGAATCGTCACGGATGCTACTGCCAGACATGACGGAGAATCCTTGAATCCGAAATCCTGAGTAGCTTAGTGATGTTATTACGATTGAGGGAACAACGCGTTGGCCCACCCGCTGACATCGAAGCCGTGTTTCATCAAGTTCGAATCATGGATGAAGATCAGCCCGCCCTTAGATTCCTGTGGCGGATCCTGAAACGGCAACGCCCAACTGATGTGTAGCACGCCATGATTATCGGAGCTGCTTCTTCTCCGTTGATGGCGAACTGTGTATTGGGAAAGATAGTATTAGACAACCACTTGGACGTTGCGTTTTCTACTGAAACAGTCAAATCAGTGGAGCAGAAGTTCCGTACATGAATGACTTTGTAAAATTCGTGTTTGACCTGTCGCTTGGCGCATGAAAGTTTCACGTTGACAAAGTGAATTAGTTCCTCGCGTGAAGTCTTGTCGCAGAGACCTCCTGAAGAAAAAACTAGCCCGTCATTCGATTTAAAGTTTGATTAAGTACCAATTGAACACACACTGTATAATATGTCTGCAACTGCGCAGGATGTACTAGAGTTTCGCTTTACGATTATCAACTTGTGGGTAAATTCAACTGGTGCGTCCAATATGGCAGACGGCATAAAAACAGCGAGAACGCCTCATGCCATAAGAAATTAACTCACGTGGTATGACATACTGGGTTTGAAATGGAACTCGTAAAACAGACTGTTTTCGTCTGTCTATTTGCTCACGTCACACACCTGAACCAACCAAGCGCGACATCTCAAGTCGACTATCAACCATGTTCGAGCCACTGGGAGTGCTAGCTCCACGCACGCTGCCTGAGAAATGTCTAATCCAATCTTCATAGCAAAGATATCAATGACGTTATATATTGTTATTAATATGCCAACCAGAGAACTATTGGTGGGTGAAACAAAGAATTCTTTTGTTTAACGTTTTGTACATTTAAATAACAAAAACAATGTTTGTAAACAAATATCTTCCCTATATACGTATCGGACTTCTGAAAGTGCCGTGTATAGCGTAAGAACAAAGACTGGTATTAGCCCTTGGATAGGGGGATTTATTCAGAGACTTCCTCTATGTTGCCCTGTTTTACCTGTTACCGGTATACCCGTTTGTCCTGTTCTCGATTGTGATCATTAGCAGTAAAATGTAGACGGGACATTGTGCCAATGAATATTCTCGGACCAAACAAAAAAAAGAAATGTTAAAATATTGCAGCGAACTTGTAACTTTAAAATTACCGAGCGAACGAAATGGGGTATGTTTGACAATTTTTGATACTTAGTTCAGTTGTTGTGCCAACAGTCACGGTGACAAGTATTTCAACACGCTCGACGAAACACTGCTTGCTACAAACCGTAACTGCTGTATGAATTATATATTATATATTTATATAATTATGAATTATATATTATACAGAAGTCGTGCGCGTAAAATCAAACCTATCATATATTGATCACCTCACCTTGCTTTGATTTTGTCATTCGAGTTCTTCAGTGAGAGGGAAAAACTCCTGTGAGACTGAAAGCTTTGAAATGATTTCGCTTTTTCCTTGACCTTCACGACACAGTAGTTCGTCACATTTGGTAAGCTCTTTCCTGTTATTTTCTCCAGTTCTTCTTTGATCTTGAGATATTTTTCCGAGTCGACAAGAACGTGAGTTGTCCCATCGAATAGTTCAGCAACAACGAATTGAAATCCTAGGTGTTTACGATGGAAATTTTGGAAGAAAGCCGACACGATTGGTACTTGCTGAGCAAAGTTGTTTTTAAAATGAATGTTCCACTCAATACGAATGGACTCGTACTTGTAGTAGCGATCGCCTCTTCCATCGTCTGGTAACTTTACGGAAGCGTTTGCCATGCTTGAAATTTCAAAAACTGCTTTGAGGAATACAGCCACAACTGAGACGTTTACTGCTAGACGCTGGGAAAGTATATTTGTGGCTGGGAAATAAGATCACTTAGCCTATTGTAGTTGCAATGTGCTCTCACTAGCACTGTCAAAAACTTAGAAGACTGTGAACAATAAAATATAACTAATGTGTCCGAGCATGCCTGATGCGTTATAGCCAATCACATACGAGATCTTCAGACGACAGAAACCACAGAAAATGGCTGAACTGCGTCAGTCACAGATAACTATTAATTTAGTTTTCGGTTTTAACTTTGTCTCAAGATACACCCGCTGTCTTTAGGTGTTGTTTCGAATCTAAAGCCACATTCAGTATTTGGTTTGAGGGATTTTGAAAAAAATAAATTGACAAGCCGACGCGCACGGTTACTCGAGCGAAGCGACGGTTGTTTTGACACGGCTATAAATAGTGATAAAAACGATTTTTTTTTTTTTTAAAAAGATTGAATTCTGGTGATTTCGTTAACCTTGTTATCATCTTAAGTTAAACTAGCGATTCGAATCATTTCAGCAAACAAACATAATTCGTTAGACCTGGTTAAAAAAGACCCTGGAAATATTGTCGACAATCAATTCAAATGTTTGCTAATTTCGGAAATAGTTTTGGCTAATAGTAACTCGATTTACATATTACAAAAATTTTCATTAATTTTCATCGAATATCAAGTTAAATCGCTTAAATATCTTCTTGGAAATTCTCAAAAATGTTTCAAAATATCACATAACTTTTTCTAAATATCTCGAAAAAACCTCTTAACAACTCTTCTTCTCTTTTTTAAACGTGCTATATTTTTCTTTCTTATACTAAACAATTATTCGCCTCAGGCTCAGTGAAAATTGGTGAATATTCACCGAGCCTGAGGCGAATAATTGTTTTAGTATAATTTTCAGAGGTGAATATCAAGGACTACAAAATAACAGACTAAAACATAAAACACAGACGCAATATACGTATGTCGCTGTTGTTTTAATAATAAGCTTATATGTACATCGATTGTGAATCAATTTACTCACCGAGTTCGGCAGTAAAACAAACGAGCGAAACACTACAAACAATAAATTCATCCTGTACCTTTGTTTTATCGTTGTTGACGTCATTCAGAGCTGCCATCATTGTCTAAAAATGAGTATCTTTAGTTTGAAGGAAAATAAATGTCGGTCAATCGATCGATCAACGTAACCACGGCGTTTACGATTCTTAAATGCCTTGAATACGACTTCTTGAAAAGATTTTTGGTCCAAGGGCGACAGCAGTCACTTTGAAAATTCTCCATCCTTTCTAATATCCTGGACTTGGAGTGATGTCTTTCGAATAAATGAAAACTTCATTCAGCTAGTGTCCGCCATGTTTACTTGCCGAGATGGCAAAGATGGCGAGCTTAGTAACGAAGCTCTAGCGGGGTGAATATAGCGTCATATGATGAACTTTTCGACCAGTCAGAATGTCCAATCCTTATATTCACCTCTGGAAATTATAGTAAGTGTAATAATAACGCGCCACGGCCAAAGGTAAGCAAGTAGTTCATATAGATTACATTTGTTTACCTGTTTTGCTGCATGGCTCGTTCTCGGCAGAATAACCAGTAAATTCTTACCATATGCTTTTCTGATAGTTCATACGTTTGTTTTGCTTTACACTGGTAGCTCGGTAATCGTTTTCGTTCTTTTCAGAACAAGAGTTATTCCTGAAAAAGAAGGTCAGTTGACTGTTTATACGTCTTTGTCTTGACTACCTTTGCTGAACCCGTGTTTTTCTGCATGGCAATTTGTGCATTACCACGAACCAGTAAAATACCGCCATCTTTTTCTGATTGCTTATTCGGTCGATTAGCCTAATAGGCTAACTCCGTGATGTTTTTCTTTTTCAGAGTGACAGGCCGCCGTCAAAGAGAGGTCTGTTGACAGTTTATATATGCGGTTTTTGTTTTTCCGTATGGCAACCCCCGTATTACTGAACCAGAACAAGCTTACTGTATGCCTTTCTGTTGTCTTTTGCATTCGGTAATTTTTTCTTTCTGTCAGAAACAGTTATCATAGTAAAGCAACCTGTATAGGAACACGTAGTCCTAAAATAGAGTGTGTATAAATTTATGTAACGTGATGTAAACACAAGGACCAGATGCGACATTTAATGGATATTATTGTTGTCAAGAGAAAAAGACATATGTTGTTTGTAGAGATAGAACTTGTTAGTCATTAGTATCTGCTAATAGGATATTGTATAATAGTAATGCTAGAACGAGGCTGATATGTATTTAAGAGTGAACAAAGAATGTTTAGAGAGATTGTAGATTGTTGAGTTGTTGTCAAATGTGTAACAAAGTTGTAAGCTTTAAAGAGAATTGTTGACGGAATATGCAGTGGTACTACGTTGAAGTGACTGAGTGAGTTAACCACATGCAGTCCTCCACTGCTAATATTTTTACTTTGAATTACTTTGATGGGGCTGAAAATTTAGTGGTTTTAAAAAAACCAGTCGTAAGACCAAAATGAGAAAGTTTAGGAGAATTTAATACGGTACATGAGAGTTTGAAGTTTTCACCTGTCATGGTAACACACTTTCCGCGAAAATGAAACAACTAAACAAATAATTAGCTACTAAATAACTGAACTACGCTTCTCGCAAAAAAATTTCGGACGATTTTAATTTTGGACAAAAATGTGTCCGAAAATAAAACCGCCTGAAATTTTTAAGCGTCCGAAATTTCAAGCCTCCGAAATATTTACAGTACCGTAGAATAAAACTTTTAAGTAGCTCCAAAGCACATAGTTTCCTTTTCCGGGCTTCATGGAGTGAACTCTAATTGAGACATTGCTTGACATACGTAACGGCTTGGCAGAATTTGGCAGGCTTTTAAATGGGAATAATTAGAACTTTTCCCACCAAGTTGACGCCAACAGGAACTACGCGTAATTTTTTGAATTTTGCCAAAAAAGCAAAAACGTGGAGTGTCACTGTGCTTGTTTTTGATATACGGTGCCTTGAATACCATGGGTTTTTAGAAGCTTTCGCTATTTTAAGACAATCTTAACTTACAACTATCGGCAATAAAATAAGTAACTTTAGTGAAATGTAGATCATGTAAACGTAATCAGTTCAACACAACTAAGTATATTAAGTAACCTTTAGCAGCTGATGTCTTTCCTTGAGGTAGAATAGGCCTTAAAAAGAATACATATTATCCTTGCGGGTTCACATTCGAAGAAAACGTCGGTCGCAAGAGAGCAGAAAAGGCAAAATATTTGTAACTTCTCGAGTTCAGATTTTTTCGTTTTTTGTCAAAATGGAGAAAATCAGTAAAAGAAGTGATCTATGAAACGGAAAGAGGGGATATCCTACCATTAAGAGAGTAAATTGCAGGTGAAGTTAACGTAATCGGTACCATACCCTATACTTGCTTATATTTCTTCCTTAGCACGCGAGCTTGATGTATGACGAGGCGAGAGATGGCGACATGAATTACGCGCGCAGAAAGGATGTACAGAAACAATGGCCGCGAACGTCTTTACGGTCCTCAGTCCTAGTAATGATAGAACGCTTGACATCATTCTAGACCCCAGACCTTCACTTTTTTGTAAAAGGCGGCGGGGTTGAGGACGGCTTACCGAGGGCTGTTGAAAACTGCTTCGTCAGGCTGCTTTGCATGTGACTTATTGATGATTCAGGAAGCATAGTGTGTATAGTATCCCTCATTGGTAGAAATAGAACTGCACAGTCTTGATTGGTGTATCGTCTTAAGAGCATGATGTAACCAGTGACTAAAATAGGTTGAGTGAAGTGATATAACTCACCAGCTTATAATATACATTTCCGGCTTCTAGAAGTAAACGCCTTCTATAGGACCTATAGTTGTGGCTACATCGATTCCTCAGAGCAGTTTACGCATTCAAGAGTATGGAAAACGCTTCTGTAGAGATACCCGATGACGGAAGATATGTTCGCTACCACAAGTACGAGTCCATTCGTATAGAGTGGTGCAATCATTTCAAAAACAAGTATGCTAAACAAGAGCATATTGTACACGCTTTCTTCAAAAATTTCCATCGTAACCACCGAGGATTTCAATTCGTTGTTGCTGAGCTGTTTGATGGGACAACTCACGTTCTTGTCGAGTCAGGAAAATATCTCAAGATCAAAGAAGAACTGGAGAAGATAACAGGAAGGAGCTTGCCCGATGTGTCGAATGTCTCGGACGTGAAGGTGAAGGAGAAAGCAAGATCATTTCACGACTCTCAATCTCACAGGGATTTTTCTCTCTCCCTGAAGAGGGCGAATGACAATATCAAAGCAAGGTAAGGCGATCAACATATCACAAGTTTTGCGCTAATGACTTCTGTATAAGTACAAATAACCGGTCATGAGTACCGATGACAACGACATATTTAAGCTACCGTGTGTAGTAGTTTTTCGCCGAGTGTGTTCAATTAGTAACGATGACTGTTAGCACAATTGGACAAAGTAAAATGTAGTACTCCATTTTGTTCGCTCTTGTATGTAAGAGATTACATACAAGTTCGCTGCCATATTTTGATAATTTTTAGTTCACTGACATTTTCTTCTCCGAGACTATTCATACGTAATGTTCCCGTGTATATTTTGAGAAATGATAGAAATCAATAAAATTATTATTATCTCTTCCTCCGGCGCTACTGAACGTTCGCCCCTAATCTCATAAGGTTGTTAAAACATTTTCTTCAACAACAAACCCAAACATTTCCGATAACTTCAATAAAAAACCGACCTTCAGTTCTCGCTTTTCTGAGAAACAGCATCACGTGCACTCGTAACAGTTTTCCTGGAACTGGAGAAGGGTATTTTAATAATTAATTAAACAGAAAGAAGTAGAGAAAACTTTTTATTTGACGCAAGAAATGTTCATTGAGGACTAATTTTTTCATTGACCAAAAGAGCTATACGTTATACAGTAAATGCATGAGCCTCAGTGTTAAAGAAACAAACTTCTCCATCACAGACTCTGCCTCAAAATTAGCAAATGTCTCACACCCTTTCGCAGAAAGCTGTATAAATAGTTGATTATTTCTTAGAAAACGGCTAATGTCAGTAAATCCTTCCTCGAATTTGTAGTTTTTCAGCAAAAAAAGGTCTGAGTTCACACGCTAATGACAAACTGAACATAAAATCTCGAGAATATGTTCTGGGGTTTTATTATTATTTTTTTAGTAGTCTTGAATTGTTTTCGTCGATGGGGAGAGAGACAAAGGGATTACTATCAGAGAGTATTTTGGGTTTCAAAAATGTTTGTGCAGTCTAACCTACCGTGAGCGCTAACGGAAGGTGGTCGCTTACGAGAGGTTCAAACAAAAGAAAATTTCAAACTTTTAGCTCTTAAAGTGGTCGCGGTCGCCTACGAGAGGTGTCGCTTACAAGAGGTTCCAAATATAGTGATTTGCCTTGGATACTTTTAGTATTTTGGAAAACTGATCGCTGAGGAGAGGTGGACGCTTTCAAGAGGTGGTCGCAACCGGAGGTTCGACTGTAATTATATTTTAGAAGCGATCCCTTGTTTGAAAACTTTAAGGCACAAACAGGTAACGCGCACGCAAGTAAAACTCTTTAAACATGACAATAAGAAACGCAAAACGATCGAGTACTACTGTCGTTAAATAAAAATAAACAACAGAATTTTCTGAGGACACTCAAACGACACTCAACTACAGACCACATTCTAGAGACCTTTTCATCAGAATTATCTATATCCTCCTTTTAGAGCTAAAGCTAAACATACTGAACCTATGGGCTTATTATCGACACTATTCTTGTCTCAGAGATTTACAGGGTTTGTTATTGGGAGATGTTTGTTAGCACAATTGATCACGGTGCTTGAAGAAATGTTATCAGATGAGTGTGAACAACACAACCTATAGTGGCTCTTCGAAAACATAAGGAAATAAACATAGCAATCTAATCTTGCTGCTTATTTGCCCTGGGCCGCTTAGCTTTACCTAACCTTAGTTTTGTCACTCACAATCTAAACTAAGGCACATCATATGGCGGTTTAGCATAAGTTCAACATCGATATGTCGCATTGATTTGCGAGTAGACCTCACGCGTGGCGTTAGTTTAGTTCAAATTAATTTATGCTAGTCATAATGATATTTTTAACAACGTTCCCAACTACTTTTGTAATCGGTTGCATCTACATCGCCTAATTTTTTGTATTGCTAGTCCTATCGTTTCGCTCTGTCCTGTAATATATAAATCACGATATTGCTTCCAACCAGCCAAGTTTGTGTTCTCTTTCAGCGAGTTTCAGTAAAAGCAGGATTTCGTGTTTGCACGTGTTTGACTGAGTAATAAAGCCGCCTACGCTGTAAAATTAATTTTCCAACCTGTAAAATTAATTTTCTAACGCAGAGTCTTGAAATTCAGTGGCTAGGAAGTTGAAAAGTGGCTCGAACGCTGTCGGAGTAGTAAAGGTTATATACTGTTTTGAATTAAAACTATTTTTCAAGGCTAAAATACAGTTTGTATTCATCGCTATTTCAGGAGAAAGGATGATGCCAAAAAGAGTGTTGGCCAACTACGCCGCTTCCTGCAAACTAAACCAAACGCGCGTATGATGGCGTTTGATGTGGAAACGTATGAAAATGACCACAGCGTAATTCTTGAAATCGGCTTCGTCGTCTGTTCCTTGGCTAAACCAGAGGGCAACGAGAAAGCATTTCATTTTATTATCACAGAAAACAGCCATTTTGTAAACAGGGATTACGTTCCTGATAACAGAGAGAAGTTTAGCTTTGGTACTTCAGAGCGCATGTCCCTGAAAGAAGCCGCTGGAAGGTTCATGCAGCATATCAGGGATGTGGATTTCTTGGTGACTCACTCGGGAACCAATGATGAAGCGTACCTTGCCAGTTCCGGCATCTCGCTGGAAGGAAAACCCATGTTTGATACTCAGCTCCTTGCCTTAGCACTGCTGACCAGCGGAACAGCTGTCTTCGGTCTCAAGCGCCTGCTGAGTGACCTGGCAATTCCGTTTGACGAGAACATTCTTCATAACGGTGGAAACGACGCAGTTTACACCATGAAGGTGTTTCTTGCTCTCACCAAGAAGATTTAACAAACCTTTCGTTTTAACTAAAACACATGGAAGCATTGTAAGGTGACAATACACACGCAGTCCTGTGTTAACAACGCGTTGCTTAATTTGAAATAGAACACGAATAGCATATGGAGGCATTGTAAGGAGTTGCTAATACACACGCTGTTGTCTTCTTAAGTGAACTACGGACTTTTAGTTGTCTGAACTTTCAAAACTCTTGCTTACTAAGTAAATTTTAAGGAACATTGATAAAACTGTTGACAGCTAGTATCGGCAACATTATAAATTTATACCAAACTTGCAAGAATTTTTATCATGTATTAACATAAAACACGTTACTGATTTTAACCTTTTTTCGTCAACATTGAATTTACTTGAATTCATTTTACGGCTAAAATGCATCCTCGAATTAACAAGCAAGGTTTTTTTTGCAACTGTCCTTTCCACCGTGCAGACAAGACTGAATGAATCAAAGGAAGTCATTAGGCCGGGCAGGGGAGAGTGGGGGAAGGGGGAAGGGGGGAAGGAGCCGGAGGGGTGTCAACCCTACTTAACGCCGGGAATCAGGCGAATCTCGAACATTTACAGGATAATTTGAGATAACAATATTACATTAACAGATTGCGAAAAAATATCCAAATGCTTGAAGAAAGCACTGCTGACGACGCATGTCAGCTCCCGTTTCATTAAACTGGAGAAATTTTATCAACTTCCAATCTTTTCTGGCATTGATGTAATTTATTAGCGATTTATTATTTATCGATGAAGCAAATAAGGGCTACAATTCTGACACTTGTTAATAGCCAACCTTATGTAGCAATGATTGCAAGTGAGCAAACTAATAAAAAGAAAATTTATGAAGAAAATTAGATTTTCTAATGCTATAGACGCGACTACTGTTAATAAAATATACTTTTGGCTCCTCTTTTGCACTTCGAGAAGGCTACCAGCAATAATAACACAACAAAGCAATTATAAAGTGTTTCATTATTTTATTGTAACTTTGTTTTGCATGTACATCGTACAGGCACTGTTCTGCGGCATTTTGTAATAACTACGCATTTTGTAATACCTTACGCATTTTGTAATAAAAGTTGCAGCATTTTGTAATGAACGTTAGTCTACGCAATTTGTAATAACGTGGTGACGCAAATTGTAATAAGTCTCTTCACACGATAATTTCACCAAGCATACAGATTGGCTGAATTCCCTTCAACACTGGCTTAATATAGTTTGTCAAGTGCTCTTTTTTAGCAGATATTGGGAGCTAAACAACCCACATACTTCTATGTAAATCTGTATTTTCAATAAGCATGTGGCATAATTTTAGTCTGAGAGGTGTATAAATTTTGGAAAATAAAATTCTCAANAGGCACATGGACACCGGGACACAAGCTTTTATTCTTTTACGACAACAGCTACAACAACAACAGCTATAACCTCAGTGCTGCACACTGAATGGAACCAACTTCCATTTCTGCTAATGATTATGCACGGAGAGTTGTCGGGAGAAAAATCATTGAGCTATGAAAGTATTTTGCTAAGATATTTCAACGTTTTTCTTTTGATTGTTTTTTTCTTTTTTCGCAGGAGAGTCTGTTGTGGTTGGTCATTTAATCTGGCTTTCCTTATAACGTAAGTCGAATGTTGGATTCTCGTGAAATGGTATAAACTGCAAGCGGAGCAAGAGAAATGCATTGAAATTAAATTACATCCCGGCCCTTGTTGCAATTACAGTGGAATCCCCGCCTTACGGTTACCTCGTCAATACGGTTGTTCTGCGGCATTTTGTAATAACTACGCATTTTATAATACCTTACGCATTTTGTAATAAAAGTTGCAGCATTTTGTAATTACCTGCAGTATTTTGTATTAAATGCAAACGACGCATTTTGTAATAAGTGTTGCAGCATTTTGTAATGAACGTTAGTCTACGTAATTTGTAATAACGTGGTGACGCAAATTGTAATAAGTCTCTTCACACGATAATTTCACCAAGCATACAGATTGGCTGGATTCCCTTCAACACTGGCTTAATATAGTTTA